GGGGGGGGGAACAGAAGTGTTTCAAAGATGTAAGAGACAAACACAAAGGCAGAGTAAAGGTGAGATGAGTACTGTGAAATATTCGAATATGGCATAGAGTGAGGTGATGGTAGTTTGAAGTGAGAAGTCAACTGCCAGTCAATAGACTTTTTTGCCGTATGAATATACGTTACCCAGGTGCACCAAAGGAGGTAAGTCTATCGCACACCCCGGGGTGGGAACATCGAAGTGAGAAAAAGTCGAGATGGTGAGGTGGGGAGAACAGAAGAGTTTAAAAGGTTTAAAAGAAACAGACACAAATGCAGAGAAAAAGTAAGCTGGGAACTGTTAAAGAGGTCGAATATGACATAGAGTGGGGTCATGGTAGTTTGAAGTGAGAAGTCAGCTTCCGGTTAATAGACTTTTTTGCCGTATGAGAATACATTGCCCAGGTTGCACCACGTGGAGGTAAGTCTATCGCACATCCCAGCAATGATACATAAAATGAGTGGAATTTGTTCCTTCCAATCAATGCAATGCATTTTTCTCAAAGAAAGCCATCATTTACGACACCCTAATCTAGGAAATTAAAACCGCCTAAATTTTCTGAGAGTGTTAAAAAGATTGCTATATTAGCCTATCACGTTTATACTTTGTATTTCAGCAGTTTCCATGCATCAACAGCAGTGGGTACTTTAAGATAAATTAAAAGTGATGCAGAAGTTTGTCAAAATAAATGCCTGTTCAAAAGAGTATCTTTGAAAGCTAAGACAGCCCCTGTTCATAAAATGGTGGGTTTTTTCGAAATCTGTTTCAACTCGACTTATCTCAATATCGATTTATTTTGACAAAATAGAAATGAAAATCCTTTGCGTTGCAGAGGAATACTGGCATAGGATGAAACATGTCATTTCTATCATTGGACAAAAAAATATATAAAATTATGTTAATTCTACTCAAAAATATTAAGTAGAACCTTGCGAAAACCTCCACAGTTAAACACAAAATTATGAGACATTTTGTAACAGTATTGCATAATTTAAGTAAACAAAACCAAAATGTTAACACTTATACCTTATTAACTTTGAGCATATGAGAAATACTTTCTTATTAAAAAAGATTTATTGCATTTTGGTGATTCATTTTTAGACGAATAATTTCAATCGAGTGTAATTTTGTCATGTTTATGTTTTAAATACTGAGGAAAATTCTTTATGAATGAACGGCAGGATTAGTTAAGATTTAATCTATTTATTCATTCGAGCCGTGTTTTTCTACCAGATGACAAGAATGGAAGTGAATTTCAGATTTTTAATTAATGGATTAAAATTATTTAATTTTAATGTAATGCTAATAAATACCATTGACCATTATGAAGGCGTTATGGTTGAAACATTCAAGCGCGTTGTCATTTCATAAATTTCTTTAAATGCTATTTGATTCTATTTTCACGAAAGAGACTTCCACTTACATCGAGTGTGAATGATATGGAACCTGGTTTATAGAAAACAGCATGAATTCCATTTACGATGAGCAAAATCGGTTTCATCACGTACAGGTACTTTTTGAGTAATTGAGAAAATGTGTTTTAATGTTGAGCTGCTAATGGATCATAATCTCAGCAATAATTGGGCAAAACATTAATATCAATTTTTATAGCTTTTGACACTATTTCGTATTTTCTATGAGATTTTATTATCAAATGCTTTTAAATAATTTGAGAGTTTCCAATAATTCGATACTGCACCATTTTGGGCGTAGGATTAAGTAAAATAAACGATTCATAGAACAGTCTTAACTTAATGAAACAGAGGTCAAAGTTACTATATTAAAGGGCCAATTTTACATTTTTAAGATCAACTTGTAAAATAAATGCAAAGAGGGTTCGTCGGTTAACTAGAATGTAAAACACGCCGTCATCAGAGCGATTATGACAGGATTGCCCGAAAAGAATAAAAGTACATTCACGACATGCCTTATTCTGAATGCTTGCATTAACTAATTACCATTTACTCACTTTTCAATCGGGTATATTTTCTAAATAAGGTATTCCTATCGTGATTTTGGAAACCTGGGGTGCGCGATAGACTTACCTCCACGTGGTGCACCCTGGATAACGTATCTTCGTACGGCAAAAAAGTCTATCACTCGGCATTCGTTTTTGACTTTGATTTATTATGATTAGCTTTAAAAAAGGCTATAAGAAAAATTGCTCTCGTCAGGGTGAATCACAACGTCTTCAGATCCTCCAGTGGAATGCTGGAGGAATGTCTCCGGACAAGAAGATCCAAGTCCAGAAAATCCTAAAAACCTATGATGTAGACATTTTCACAATTATGGAAGCTAACATCTCGGATAACAAACTGAAGTACTACCAATTCCCAGGTTACACCCTGTGCAATCTGCCTAAATACCGGCAAGTTGCAAGTGGAATTCTCACTGGAGTAAAAGAAGGCCTCACCTTACACTACGATCTAATCAAGAGTATGGGCTCGACAAAAAACAGATGTGAAATAATCAGATTAAATGTTCGGAAATGTCAGAACCACTTCAAGATATATGCAGTCTATAATCCATGCCAGAATTGTCCCAACTTTGACTTTCTGAACACCTCACACAAAACTATAGTCTTTGGAGACTTCAACGTCCATTTCACCAGATGGGGCTACAAGGCCACAAACATAGCTGGAAAGGAAATCGAAGGCATGCTAAACAGCAACCCTCTGGAACTTATTTACAGCAATGAGGATCCGGCTACATATTTGCACTACAATGGACTAGAACAACTCCTGACTTACTCTTGGCTTCAAGCGACATCGGTAAGCATACACGCCGCAAAATAATTGACGATCCTGGTTCTGGTCACAAACCAATCATTGCTAGTATTACCATCGGCAGCAAAAGCATGACAAGGAAAGTGCCAACTAAGCTATCATGGAACTTCAAGAAGGCTGACTGGTCTAGATTCACTAACCTTTTAGACAATGAACTTCATTCAAGTCCCCTCAACTTCAACCAACATCCTGACAAACTTTGAAATGATATCACGAATATTATGATCAGGTGTGCAAAGGAAACTATTCCCAGAGGCAAGACTAAACACTATCGAGTGTTTTGGTCTAAACACCTTGAGGAACTGAAAAGAAAGCGGAACGCCCTTCGCAACACTGCTGATCAGACTGGAAGAACGGAAGACGTACAAGCCTGGAGACGACAATCAGCTGTCCTAAGACAAGCCATCTTACAAGCTAAACGGACTTCCTTCGACAAGTTCATCTCAAATATCAACTATCAAAGTGATAGCCAACGCACTTTCAAATTTCTGAGAAACCTCCAAAACGACAGAGAAAGACCCAAGAAAGAACCAATACGCTTAAACAGCAAATTGCTTACCACCNGCTAATTCTAAAATTGGCAACGATTGTTATTAAGCATAAAATGCTAAACTGGATAAAAGCATTCATTGGACAAAGATCGTGTAAAGTCAGATACGGAAATGCTCTATCAAAATCCAATCTATTGCAAACAGGCCTTCCACAGGGAGCTGTCACAAGCTGCACTCTTTTCAATGTCTTCATCAATGACATAGCCGAATTGGCACAGACAGTCACGGGTATCAAGTGCTTACTTTACGCAGATGATCTGGTACTATGGTATTCCGCCCCTAAGAAAAACGCTCAGGAGAGGACAGAAAGTGCTCTTAATAGTGCACTTAAACTACTAGCAAACTGGTGCGACAACAATGGAATGGTTATCAACACCGCGAAAACTGCATTCCAAACTTTTTCCTTGGCCCATCATAGCATAAACCCACTTCTAAGGTACGAGGATATTACCCTAGAAAAAATCAATGAGTTCATATATCTCGGAATGACTTTTGACACAAAGCTAACGTGGAAAAGTCACATAGCTAAAATAGCAGAACGAGTCACCAATAGACTGAATGTACTGAAGCGTCTTGCTGGTAGCGTATGGGGCTGTGCGCGCTCAACTCTCAACACCACTTACAAGATGTTTATTCAGCCAATAATGTTGTATTGCTGTGAGCCACTCATTAGAGCCACAGAGGTGACTCTCAAACCACTCGAGAAGGCACACAACCAAGCATTACGACTAATTACTGGAGGGATAAAATCAATACACATTGATGCAATGCTCCTAGTTACAGGAAGCGCCACAATGTGTTCCCTTATCAAAGAAAAAGCCTTGATCCTGTATGAGAAGCTACTGCGCATTCCCATGGATAAGTTCTTCAGCACCTATGAGAAAAGACCAAGACATCTGAAAACGCAATCTGGTCTAATACAGAAAGCCATAGAACTGAAGAAAGAATTACAAATTGATGACAAACCAAAAAGCCTCTCTCTCCCCATGAACCCATTAGCAGACATTGATGTAGTGTGTTGCACCCAAATGCTCGACTTCTTCAGGAAATCAAACACCCCTCCAGTGCAAATGCGCTCGCTGGCCCTTGAGACAATCAATGTCAACTATCCTGGAGATCAATGGCTCCAAGTCTTCACTGATGGGTCATACATAGAAAGCCAATATTTAACTATTCCATTGAAATGAAATTTTGGAAGATTAAGATTATCGACCACAATCAAATCAAAATAAGAAAGAGAAAATATTTCTAAATACGAAATTTAAATATTACCTGAGAATAAAACATTTGCACTATATAAAATGCAACACTTTCGAAATAAATGAGTTGGAATATTAAAATAAACAATTAAGAAAATTTAATTCATAATTGAAGCAATTTTAAAAATGATTCGAAATAGTACAATTTTTTATTTTTTTCAGAATTGAAAGAAAGAAATTTAAATCGATTGATTGTATCTCTATTTCTACGCACAACGTATACACCGAACCAGGTGTTATTTTGACCCAGTTTTTATCCTAAATGATAATAATAATAAAAATAATAATAATAAATAATAGCATTTTGGAAATAGTACAGTTAAATAGCCAGTAATCCATAATAATATTTGAATTCAATCCTTCAATTATTCAAAATTATTTCACCAAACCTTAACTATAACTTTTTAATAAGTTGAGATAAGTAATCGGAGCAAAAGATTATTTATTCTTTTGAAAGAAAATAAATCACTGGGTATATTTAGATGAAGTTGTTACTGTTATAAACGTCAAGATCATTTTGCATCAAGTGTTCGTAAAGCAAAGTAGCATGAAATGTGATTACAAAAATTAAGTAAGGCCCGCAAATGGACATGACATATGGTTCGTATCTTACTGCCTGAAATGTGATTACTGAAATGCATCCAGTTAGTTCTTAGTTGAAAGCAAGAAAATTGATTTTTGCAAGAAATTTTCAGTGTTTGGCATCAAATGCGCAGACATCCTTTTTTGTTCAACAAAATAACCATTTTAACCTTAAATATCACATGAATAAAAACCACAGTGATTTTCGACTGTATTCTTGAACCAAGTTGATTTTATTATGCCTTATGGAAATGCTTGGTAGTACTCCATCACCCCCCAGATTATTTAATTTTCATAAAGGGCAATTTAAGGGTAAGATTTTTTTATTTAAAACGGGGCAACAATTAGAAATTTAGATTAACAAATTTTGGAAATAAAAGAAAAAGCGATTACAGGTAAATGACGCAAATGTGTGGAATTGTATAATATGAATCGTACTAATGAATTATTGCGTAACCTTGACAATCACAATTACTCAAAGCTTAAAGGATCGCAGAAAAGGCGGTGAAGGCGATGTAAGTTCGCAAACTTGAAGTAAGATGGGACTTGAAGAAGCTGTTTTGAGGAAGTTGATCAAACGAATGAATTAAGATCATAGACTTTTGAGTGAATCAAATGGCAGGCATTTTGGCCTTTTGTTGACTTCAGGCTTCACAGAGGGGAAGGAACATTAAAGTGAAAAAAAGTCGAGGGGGGGGACAGAAGAGGGTTTCAAAAATGTAAAAGAGACAGACACAAAGGTAGAGAAAATGTGTGGTGAGTACTGTGAAAGCTGTGGAATATGACATACAGTGAGGTGATGGTAGTTTGAAGTCAGAAATCAACTGCCCGTTAATTGACTTGGGGTCATGATAGTTTGAACTCAGAAGTCAACTGCCAGTTAATAGACTTACTCATGGTAGTTTGAAGTCAACTGCCAGGTAATAGACTTTAGTTTGAAGTGAGAAGTCAACTGCCGATTGATAGACTTTTATTTGAAGTCAGAAGTCAACTGCCAGTTAATAGACCTTTTCAGTCAGAAGTCAACTGCCGGTTTATAGACTTTTTTGCCGTTTGAGTAGTCAGAAGTCAACTGCCGGTTAATAGACTTTTTTGTGAAGTGAGAAGTCAACTGCCAGTTAATAGACCTTTTTGCGTTGAAGTCAGAAGTCAACTGCCGGTTAATAGAATTTTTTTGCCGATAGTGAGAAGTCAACTGCCGGTTTATAGACTTTTTTGCCGCTTTGAAGTCAGAAGTCAACTGCCGAATAATAGACTTTTTTAAGAAGTCAACTGCCAGTTAATAGACTTTTTTTGCCGTATGGCCGTATGATTATACGTTGCCCAGGGTGCACCACGTGGAGGTAAGTCTATTGAAAAACGAATGCCGAGTGATAGAATTTTTGCCGTAAGAAAGTACGTTGCCCAGGGTGCACCACGTGGAGGTAAGTCTATCGTAGTTAACTGCCAGTTAATAGACTTTTTGCCGTATGAATATAACGAAAGCCGAGTGATAGACTTTTTTGCCGTAAGAAAATACGCTGCCCAGGGTGCACCACGTGGAGGTAAGTCTATCGCACACAAACTTCCGGTTAATAGACTTTTTACCGTATGAGTATACGTTTCCCAGGGTGCACCACGTGGAGGTAAGTCTATCGCACACCCACCAGGGTGCACCACGTGGAGGTAAGTCTATCGCACACCCCTTTTGAGTGAAAATATTTATTTAGTTATTTCAAATGGCAGGCGTTTTGATATTTATCATTAGCCCTTTAGCTGACTTCGGACTTCACAGGGGGAGGAACATCAAAGTAACAGAAAATCGAGGGGTGGGGAACAGAAGAGTGATTTAAAGATGTAAAGAGACAGACATGAAGGCACAGAAAAGGTAGGATGAGTACTGCGCCAGAAGTCAATCGCCAGTTAATAGACTTTTTTGCCGTATGAATATACGTTGCCCAGGGTGCACCACGTGGAGGTAAGTCTATCACGCACCCCTGAGTGAAAATATTGTTGCGTTCGTAAAGGCTTCAAAGCTTTCACGCTTTAAGTTTTTTCATCTTATATATGTTTACTTATAGCATCTTTAAAACCCTTATTGATTGCAATATATATTTAAGGTATTTGTCAAATAACCTACGAATTTGCTGACACTTTTGATTTTTCCTTGTATCAAAATGACATTATAAGTTATTTTGGTCATTAAATTCCAAAAGAGACGTTACTGAAAATTATTAAATTGCATGAACTTTTAAGATATTCTACAATTGAAGAGCAAGGAAATATATTGTTAAACCTAAACAATTAAAATGAGTCATAAATGTGTTGAAAAAAATTATTAAAATAACATTCCAACGGTGTCGCATAAAAATTTTTTTCTATTTCGTAGATACTTTTGCCGATCATCCTCGGGGCAATTGGGCCTTTCAGGAAAGTCAATGTCAATCCTCCACGTCAACTTCCTTAAGAGGAATATCACAGACTGATTCCTTTGGCCAATTACAATCCAGCTCGATATTCCACCCGAAATCCTAACGGATTTGTTTTTTTCCTGAGCATTCTTGGAGTGAAGAAATTTGTTAATTAAGAAATCAGTCCAGTGTCATGTTTTATTCTCTCCTTGATGTGCAAGGAATATGTTAAATGACCCATATAAATTTCAACTGGGGTGTGAGATAGACTTACCTCGACTTGGTGCACACTGGGCAACGTATACTCATACGGCAAAAAAAGTCTATTAATCGGCAGTTGCCCTCTGACTCCAAACTACAATCACGCCACTGTATGCCATGTTCGACCCATTCTACAGCACTCATCTTACCTTTTCTCTGCCTTTTTGTCTGTCTGTCTGTCTTTGTCACATCTGTGAATCATTATTCTGTCCTCCCCTCTCGACTTTTGGCCAATTTGATGTTCCTCCTGCTCTCTGTGAAGCCCGAAGTCAACTAAAGGGCTAATGATAACTA